ATTCACCCCTTTTGCTGTGAAGCCCCTAAATAAGATCTGGTGCAACCAATTACCAGAAGTCACATAATTAGTTAAATAAAGTCCACCAGTGTGCAATCTAAGTGTCACATGATCTGTCACATGATCTCAGTATATGTTCTGAAAGGCCCCAGAGTCTGCAACACCACTAAGCAAGGGGCACCACCAAGCAAGCGGCACCATGAAGACCAAGGAGCTCTCCAAACAAGTCAGGGACAAAGTTGTGGAGAAGTACAGATCAGGGTTATAAAAAAATATTCGAAACTTTGAACATCCCACGGAGCACCATTAAATCCATTATTAAAAAACAAACCTGCCAAGAGAGGGCCGCCCACCAAAACTCACAGACCAGGCAAGGAGAGTATTAATCAGAGAGGCAACAAAGAGACCAAAGATAACCCTGAAGGAGCTGCAAAGCTCCACAGCGGAGATTGGAGTATCTGTCCATAGGACCACTTTAAGCCGTACCCTCCACAGAGCTGGGCTTTACGGAAGAGTGGCCAGAAAAAAGCCAATGCTTAAAGAAAAAAATAAGCAAACACGTTTGGTGTTCGCCAAAAGGCATGTGGGAGTCTCCTCAAACATATGGAAGAAGGTACTCTGGTCAGATGAGACTAAAATTGAGCTTTTTGGCCATCAAGGAAAAGGCTATGTCTGGCGCAAACCCAACACCTCTCATCACCCCGAGAACACCATCCCCACAGTGAAGCATGGTGGTGGCAGCATCATGCTGTGGGGAGGTTTTTCATCGGCAGGGACTGGAAAACTGATCAGAATTGAAGGAATGATGGATGGTGCTAAATACAGGGAGATTCTTGAGGGAAACCTGTTTCAGTCTTCCAGAGATTTGAGACTGGGAAGGAGGTTCACCTTCCAGCAGGACAATGAGTGGTTTAAGGGGAAACATTTAAATGTCTTGGAATGGCCTAGTCAAAGCCCAGACCTCAATCCAATTGAGAATCTGTGGTATGATTTAAAGATTGCTGTACACCAGCGGAACCCATCCAACTTGAAGGAGCTGGAGCAGTTTTGCCTTGAAGAATGGGCAAAAATCCCAGTGGCTAGATGTGCCAAGCTTATAGAGACATACCCCAAGAGACTTGTAGCTGTAATTGCTGCAAAAGGTGGCTCTACAAAGTATTGACTTTGGGGGGTTGAATAGTTATGCACGCTCAAGTTTTCTGTTTTTTTGTCTTGTTTCTTGTTTGTTTCACAATAAAAAATATTTTGCATCTTCAATGTGGTGTAAATGAAATTATACAAACCCCCCAAAAATCCATTTTAATTCCAGGTTGTAAGGCAACAAAATAGAAAAAATGCCAAGGGGGGTGAATACTTTCGCAAGCCACTGTATTATGTTAGTCTGTAGGTTGTAGTATGTTTTTTCTTTCCTCTGTTGGTTGTATATTGGTTTTCTGTAGGTTGTAGTTGTGCTTGTGCCACATTGTACTGGTTTAACCTCTGCTAGAGCTCTCTGGATAATAGTCTGGAGATTAAAAGCTCTCTGATTTTCAGATTAAGGGAATTCTACCAACACTCAAGCCAAAATCTTGGAATGCACAAATGATTAACTCTCGCAGTTCCTCACAGCTTTGTCATGACCTGTAATTGCATACAAATTTCTCTCTCTCACACACACACACACACACACACACACACACACACACACACACACACACACACACACACACACACACACACACACACACACACACACACACACACACACACACACACACACACACACACACACACACACACACACACACACACACACACACACACACACACACACACACACACACACACACAGTGACGAACAGTTTGAACTACAGCTGAACCAGATATCGAATGCAGGCTATTACTCAAGCCTTCTCTTTATTATGGAGGCCCCTTCCCTGTGCCACCCACTCTCTTCTCTCCTGTCCCGCCTCCTCATTCACTGGGCTCTCTGTCTATCCACTGTCCACTGTCCAGAGGATCGGACCATTATGGCCTCACTTGGTGTTATTTGGACCACCGTGTCAAATGACGAATGGGTTGGTTCTTCAGAGAACTTCAGAGTGCTTCACCAAGTTAAACGGACCATTAAGTTTTGGCAAATGCTATGTGGGAGATGTGTTGGTACAGTAGGGAGTTGTTTGGTCCACTAATGGGTCAGACTTTTGTTCCCCTGAAGTCATGCAGCAACTCAACACAGGAGCCCCTCAGAAACGCTGCTGGTTGGAGAGGAGAGACGGCATGGGAAAATTCAGAGCAAGGCAGGTTACCAAAAGGCCTCAATAGATAGGTCAACACTCAGAGACACATAGGCTACACGTGATGTACAGACACACACGTTCACACGCAAACAGACAAACAGTAGACACAACACATAAACAATGCAAGCAGGGCCATACGTACGATGCGCTTCCCCTCAGCTTTATAATGACCTGTAATTGCATACACGTCACACACACACAGTAGGCTCATACAGAGACACAACATAGAAACAATGCAAGCAGGGGCACACAAACAGTGCACACAGGCTTCCAGAAACAGACACACTTATACATCCATACAAACACACACAATAACACATGACACACGGACACCTGCTCACTCCTTCCGACAGCTCTGAAAGCCTTGTCAACCCTAAGCCCTAAGGGTTTTACACCAGGTCTCGCTCAGCTGGCTCACTAAACGACCCTCTCACATTCCCATTGGTATCCACACTAAATCAAAGCCTGTTCACACCTGCGTCATGCACCACAACCCCCTACAAACACAAGAAACAACCAACGAACATTCACCTGTCAAATTGCTTTCACCTACCTCAGTCAGGTGAAGGGCGTGTGTCTCCTTGACAGCGTCACTGTGTCAGGTTCTCTCACACTCTCTCTCGCTCTTCCACCTGCTGCTTGTGCCGGTGAACTTCAACCCCTTGTGTACAACCACTCCCTCTGGCTCCTCCAACTCATTAACCAGCCCCTTGGTGCTGCGGTGGTGGTAGTGCCTGGAAGTGCTTGGAAGGATATGAAGAAATCCAGCACCTCAGAGCTGCTTCCCTCGTTGACTGGCTGCCACTGGGTGCTCCTCTCCTGGGCTGCATTGTCTGGCGGACTCTCACCCCCCTTTCCCAAAGCTTATGTAAGCCTGAGGTGCTGGGCGAATGGTTAGTTCAGCTCCATGGCTCTCCCTTTGTGAAAGTGCTCCGGAGTGTTGCAGGCCCTCAGAGGAGGGGGTAAGACCCAACCTCAACACTCGTGCGTAGGAGACCCAGCTCCCCCGTCTCTTACACAATGGGCCGATCAGCTGGCAAGGTTGCACAGGATTTTGAGTGCTTGGGATGGTGCAGGTTGCTGCTGTAAAGGAATCGCACAATAGGAAGATGAGATAGTATATTTGTTTATAGTATACATTAGAATATTAACAATGTAGAGAAAAGAAGGGAGGGAAGCGCTGCTAGTGTACACAATAGTAGATCTTTGTAGGTTATTAATAAAATGTGCTCTGTTGTTGTGATGACTGCAGAGTGCATCACAGTCTCTTTCTCTGAATCATGAGCTGGAGTCCATCAAATCAAGAGAGAGAGTTTTATTTGTAATAAAAAAGATCACTTGCTTCTTTACACAATATTTACCCATGATGTACAGTCATGTCATGTTTTAGATAACTACATAAAAGCTACAAAAAGAATTGCTTAAAGGTCCAATGCAGCCATTGTATCTCAATTAAGTACCTTAATGTGATTGTTTTCAATTAAAATGGTAAAAAAATAAAATACGAATATCTTAGCAAAGAGACATTTCTCAAGCAAGAATTTTGCTAGGACTTTCTGGGAGTGGTCTGAGTGGGGAGGGTAAAACTGAAAACAAGCTGTTATTGGCAGAAAGGTTTGGAACTATTTCTTATTGGTCTATTAACTAATTTACCGCCTGGTGATGTCACCAGGCACCAAAACTCCATCCCACAAAAACAGGCTGAAATTTCAGGTGGTCTTTTCAATCAGCTCTTACACTAAAAGGGCATTATCATTATTTTCACAATTTCACAGTATTATTCCAACCTCATAGTGTGAGAATATATATACACTACCAGTCAAAATATGGACTGTTGTTTCTCTTTGCTTATTTGAGCTGTTCTTGCCATAATATGGACTTGGTCTTTTACCAAATAGGGCTGTCTTCTGTATACCCCCCCTACCTTGTCACAACACAACTGATTGGCTCAAACGAATTAAGAAGGAAAGAAATTCCACAAATTAACTTTTAAGAAGGCACACCTGTTTATTGAAATGCATTCCAGGTGACTACCTCATGTCTGGTTAAGAGAATGCCAAGAGTGTGCAAAGCTGTCATCAAGGCAAAGGGTGGCTATTTGAAGAATCTCAAATATAAAATATATTTTGATTTGTTTAACACTTTTTTGGTTACTACATGATTCCATATATGTTATTTCATAGTTTTGATGTCTTCACTGTTATTCTACAATGTGGAAAATAGTAAAGATAAAGAAAAACCCTTGAATGAGTAGGTGTGTCCAAACTTTTGACTGGTACTGTATATATAAAACACAGGAAAATCACGCTGACTGCACTGGGCCTTTAATAGGTTTCATGAAGTTGAACAATGTGTCCAACTTTTTACACAACAGTTCATAACACTTTCATTCGACAAAAAAAAACTGCCTTGCACAAAACTATTCAGGGCTTTTCTAAACTAATTCCTGCATTTAATTGAGCTTAAATGGAATTGACTCCAACTAGATATAAGATAACAGGCTATATAAATAAGATAATGTAGCAACATTGCAGCAGTTTTTTGTTCTCCATCAGTACAGGTTCTGTCATTCTCAAAATGTTCAGACTCAGGACACATAAAAAAGACAGACCAATGTATAAATGAATTAGTAAATCTACATAAAATGCACATTAAAACAGAAACAATAAATGTATGCATTTGCATCCAACTGAATGTCTTAGCTGACTTCTGTCCCTGAACTTATTCTCCAGTAAAGGTAGGGTTAGCCACAGTGGTGGTTGCATTCTTGAATAGTGGATTGTCTGCCTGTTGAGAGGACAAATTAGAAATTATGAAAACTCTGTAATGTTTGGAACTCAGATGTCTGGAGCAATAAGCACAGTAACCTGTTTTTCATAGCTGCATCTTAGCCAGCCATACATTTATGGCAACTGACATACAAGGTTAATAAATCACAACATTGGCTTGGATTTTGACTTTCATACAATTGCGGATCAAATCTTGCAAGAGTGTTTTATAAATGAGGTCCCCCAGGTTCTGTAGTGTAGACCACTGCTGTGCAGTTCTGTCATTCTCAAAGTGATGTTTTTTATGTACGAGCAAATGTCCCTCACCTGCGACCACTTGGATTTCTGCTTCTCATTCTCAAACTTGCGGAACTCCTTCTGGTCTTGGAGGTACATTAAGAATTTGATGAGGAGCAGGATCATGATGCCGATGACAGCCACGCCTGCGATGGAGCCTCCAATGATGGCGTAGATGTTTGGCAACTCGGGACACTCTAACACATTTAGGACAGACATAAACAAACATCAGTTTAGGCAGTCCTGGAGGCAATTACAGGGTTTCACTTCTGCTGTGAAAACATTTGGTTACAGTTTGTTTTGACATAGTTCCATTTAGATGCATGTTAGCAGCCTTGGTCAAAACACTATCTAGCAGATAATATGCAATTAAGATTGGTCTAACCGTGTTAAATCTAGCCTTCCCACATCAGCAAAGTTGCAGTTGCCAATTACCTGGGAAAGAAATGTAACTGATAGTTTATGGAGTATAATTGCATCTAGGGGCAATTTCCTGGACCCAGATTAAGCTGACGAAAAAGCTGACTATATGATGCCCGTCAAACAATATGTGCAGTCAATTAACCCCAGCACATATTTCTGTTCTCTGTGGGCAATGAACATTTGCATACTTTTTAGTTGTACAAGACAGAAGTCTCTTACCTCTGGTCTTTAGTATTTGGGCGTTGTAGTTGTCCTCTCCATCCAACTGTGAAATGGTAAAGAACACTCGGCAGTTCTCCACATCCCTCACATCACAAGGCTTACCAGGTGGCAACGTCTCCACCATCTTGAATTCATTAATACTCTTACAGGCCTGGGAGCAGTTCTTACTGAATGGGCCTGTCTGAAAGCCCAGACACTCAATGCATTTCCTGAAAACAGAAGAACAAGAGGTAAATAGTGAGAAATGTCATTGCGCAACGTTTTGTCTCTTCTCTTTAACACTTAAACGCATGCTTTGGTTCCAAAACTCTTCTTTTTGAGTAAGATGGCAACACCCATAAATTGTATTTTATAGTCCTACATTCTATTCTCCCAGTTATTCCTTTATGATCAATGGTAACCATCTTTGTCCTGTGGCTTTTAACGTGTACACAATGGCTCCAACAACATTACCCCAAGGGGCCAGTGAAAAAGGTGGTTATGTGAGTGGAAAAGGAGGGCCCAGGCCCTCTTACCCCTTGGTTATACAGGGGGTTTGGCAGGCGGGGCAGGTCAGACAGTAGGGCCGCTGGTAGCCCTCGATACACTTGCACTGGTTACACTGGCATGTGCCCCTGTTGCTGCACACACTCCCGCTTGGTGTGCGACACCGCTCGTCCGACTTCTTGCATTGGCAGGTGGTGCCCTCATACCCGGGGTTGCATTCGCAATTTTTGCAACGGCATTTCCCGTTCCCTTCAACACAGAGAAGTGATCTTATGTCAGAATTTTGAATGTAGCTTAAACCATAATGGAACTGTCATTAACAGATCATAACAAATGGCAGGTGTTCTTTCTATTGTTATACATGTATATGTTTTCATCTATATTTCCTATGTTATCTATTATCTATCTTTTTCCCCCCAATTGATACAGTATTTTTATATATTTTATTTATCAGACTCCACCTCCACACAGTTTGTTCTGGAACTTCTCGCAGCTCTCGTTTTCACACTCGCAGTGCGTGCCGTAGTAGGTGCTGCCGCCTTGTAAGGCGTAGCACTGGCAAATGCCACACACACAGTCCCCTCGTCCCTCGCACTCCGTGCCGTTGTCCTTCCGGCATGCCGCTCTCAGAGAGCTCTCGTCCTTCTCCCCGATGGAGCACTCACACTTCTGGCCCACGAAGCCAGCTTTGCAACTGCACAGAGGGGAAAAATAGCCAATTTCAGTTTCAAAAAATTTTTTTCATTTTCCCCCTCCCTGGGGGGTTTTTGTCCCTATTAAAAATAAAAACATAAGAAAAATTAAAATCTATTTTTTTTCCGAACCCTTTTAGGGCCATGACCATGGGGGGGGGTTTGTCCAAAAATATTAAATAAAATTTGACAATCCAATTAAAAAGTAAAGCATTTTTTTTTATCCCCCCAAGGGGGCCACCGAACCCCCTACTGGCCCTTTCCCCTGCCGACTTTTTTGACACACATTTCGAACCAATTTAGGGTCCCTAAATTCCTTTTTTTAAACCCCAAAGGGCCAAAAAAACATTTACTGTCCAAATTCATCCGTTTTATGTTTTTAAAAACACGCAAATTCGGAGGGAAATTTGGGATTGGTTTAAAAAGTTTGGTTTGAATAAAATGTTTTCCAAAAGCAAGTTTATTCTTTTAAAATTACCAAAAAAAAAAAAAGCAAATTTATATTACCCAAAAAAATTGTTGGCACCCCATTTTAGAGAAATTCACAAGGTTTAATTGTTAATAGCGTGGTCACGGTAAAAGTGGTCCGCTGAAACCCCGAACAATTGCACTGGATTTACACTGAAATGTGCCCTGTTGCTGCCACCCTCCATTGGTGTGCGAAGCAGCTGTCCGACTTCTTGCATTGGCCAGTGGTGCCTCAACCCGGGGGCATTCGCAATTTTTCAAGGAAATTTCCCTTGTCCCAACACAGAGAAGTGATCTCAAGCATTTGATGGTACCTAAACCATAAGGGAAACTGTCATAACAGAGCATAACAAATGCTGTCTTAGAACCCATGTAATGTTGTTCAACTATATGTCCTATGGTATCTAAGTCACTTTGTCCCCCCAATTGATCAAGATTTTGAACTATGTTCATGTATCAACTCCGACCTCCAAATTTGTTCTGGAACTTCACGCAGCTCTCGTTTCACACTCCGAGTGCGTGCCGTATCAGTGCGGGCCGCCTTACGTCGAAATTTGAATGAAATGAAACGCTATGGCAGGAGACCCAGGAGGGACCCCACTGCTGACACAGAGACATAAAAAGCAAAGACTACAGTTTGCCAAAATGTACATGAGTAAGCCAAATTCCTTCTGGGAGAAACGTCTTATGGACAGATGAGACCAAGATAGAGCTTTTTGGTAAAGCACATCGTTCTACTGTTTACCGAAAATGTAATGAAGCCTTCAAAGAAAAGAACACAGTACCTACAGTCAAATATGGTGGAGGTTCAAAGATGTTTTGGGGTTGTTTTGCTGCCTCTGGCACTGGGTTGCCTTGACTGTGTGCAAGGCATCATGAAATCTGAGGATTACCAAAGGATTTTGGGTCGCAATGTAGGGCCCAGTGTCAGAAAGCTGGGTTTGCGTCCGAGATCATGGGTCTTCCAGCAGGACAATGACCCCAAACATACTTCAAAAAGCACCCAGAAATGGATGGCAACAAAGCGCTGGAGAGTTCTGAAGTGGCCAGCAATGAGTCCAGATCTTAATCCCATTGAACACCTGTGGAGAGATCTTAAAATTGCTGTTGGGAAAAGGCACCCATCCAATATGAGAGACTGGAGCAGTTTGCAAAGCCAAAAATATTACCTTAAATCCATAGGTAAGAAGCTTATAGTTTTAGGAAGCGACTGAATTCAGTAGTATTTAGGGTTGTATAATGTTTGTGTGGTAACAATGTAACCTAAGTTACAGTTTATTGAATTTTTTGTTATTCACATTATGTGTAATTAATGCTTCTGAGCTTCATTACCATCTGTCCATATACTGTATATATATATATTATATACTATATATATATATATATATATATATATATATATATATATATATATATATATGTATTTAAATGTTTACAAGTAATGAAGTACATATTTATTGAATGTTTTGTCAATAGTTTATTAATGCTGCTGAGCTCTTACCATCTGTCCCACACCCACATTGTCACATACTCCTTTGTCCCTTGTGGGTCCCCCTTCAGGACAAAGTGGAGTGTAAGTGACTCTCACATTGTCAGGGAGAGCATCATGAGTCACCGTCACTTTGGAGGAGAGCCTCTGTGTTAGAGACACAAAACAGACTCAGAGCTGACACCAACGCTACATCATCAGAATAAAACAACCCAAACAAATCCAAACTGACACTTTATTCCTAGAGATACTAGAGTTTCAAGTTTATGATGAACTCAACCAGTGTTGTAAAGTACTTAAGTAAAAATGGTGTAAAGTACTTAAATAAAAATATTTAAAAAGTACTACTTAAGTAGTTTTTGGGGGTATTTGTACTTTACTATTTATATTTTTTGACTACTTTTACTTTTACTCCACTACATTCCTAAAGAAGATATGCACTTTTTACTCCTATACATTTTCCCTGACACCAAAAAGTTTGGATGCTCAGGCAGGACAGAATTATGGTCCAATTCACACATCTATCAATAGAACACGTTGTCATTCCTACTGTCTCTGAGCTGGTGGACTCAGTAAACACAAATACTGCGTTTGTAAATTATGTCGGAGTGTCGGAGTGTGCCCCTGTCTGTCCGTAAATACAAAAAATGTATACAGTTGTGCCGTCTGGTTTGCTTAATATAAGGAATTCGATGTGTGGCATTTACTTTTACTCAAGTATGACAATTAAGTACTTGTTCCACTGTACTTAAGTACATTTAAAACCAGATAGTAGTATTTTACTGGGTGACTTACTTTTAATCTAATCATTTTCTATTAAGGTATCTTTACTTTTACTCAAGTATGACAATTTAGTACTTTTTCCACCAGTGAACTCAAGTAAGGTTCCACACATTAAACACATAATTACAATATGATTTCTTGGAGTACCGTTTTAAAAAAGTGATTTGTTAAATTAATAACAAAAGATTGTAAATGTCTTACATTGTAGGCATTTTCAATCAATTCAACGACATTATGGGAGTCAGCTGACAACACTCCCACCTCAGACTTGGGGATCATTTTACTGAGTTCCTGGAATAAAGGTGTTGATTATGTGGCAGGATTAATAAGTGCCTGCATTAGATATTTTGAAGTGTGTCAAAATATTGGTGCCGAAACCCGGGACCTTTAGATAACATTAAAATGAATAACAACAGAAAGACAGAGGAAAAATAAAGGAAAGAAAGAGTCCACTTACCCTGTATACCTTCTCCATTTTCTTCGTCACAGCAAAGATTGGCTGAATGTTGTTCTTCTCTAACTGATTAGCCACTTGACCAACAGATGGGTAGTCCTACATACAGAGACACTTAACTTGTACAACCTCAACAATGTAATTGTTTAAGAACAAATGGGCTGGAATGCAGGCTTCTAAGTCATGCCGTTACATTCACTACATATTTCTCATAATCTCTTATGGTATTTTTCATATAGTTTTGTTGAGGACCAATCATATTGATCTGAATGTGCCGCATGTCATCACATACCATGACATTGCTCTTTGTGTACAGCTTGTTGTCCATGTAACATCTCTCATCATTGGGCTCCAGTATGCCAGCCAGCTTGCCATCCCCTGCCATGTGGAAGCCATCGTCGGTGGTCAGAACGATAAGCCGAGTGCTGCTATTCCTCCAGCCAATCCTGTCCTGTGGAAAACAATTTGGGGCTTCATGTAAAATGAATGGCAAAGAGGTGAAAAAGTATTTATCACACATTTGTAGGGCCCTGAGTTTCTCTTTCGAGTGCTACACAGGCAGCACACTTTATCACTGCAGCCTGTCGTGTGGTGTAAAAATACAGAAAATACATTTAAGTTTCACAACTGAGCAGAATGATAAAATATATGCACATTTCATTGAATTATGAAAATTGTTGGAATAACAATAGACCGACCAGATCTCTTTGTGTGAATTTTTTGTTGCAGAAGTTAACTATTTCCCTGTTTGTCTATATAGGCTACCTATGTACTTGCCAAGTACCTCAACTCCTCCATGGAGTTGAGCGCAGACTACAGTTTTTGTGGTCCTCTGTAGCTCAGTTGGTAGAGCACGTAATGCCAGGATTGTGGGCTTAATTCCCGGGACCCCCCATACATCAAATGTATGAACGCATGACTAAGTCGTTTTGGATAAAAGCGTCTGCTAAATGGCATATATTATACTATTATTATTATTATTGTATTGAAATGAACCTCCGACTCCTAGTCTCTATGCGTCGATACATCAAAAATGTAAATTCTTAAACCCTTTCTGTGTACCTACTGTATGTTTGTCCTCTGTTGTTGAGTGCCTTTCTTTGTTTGCTGAAATCCATACTTTTTAATAAAACGTTAATCAAATACAACCACCGACTGTTTCCTTATTGCTGTTGCTCTAAGATGGCAACTCAGCGAGAATGCGCATGTGCCAATTGAATCTCAATCAGGAAACAGTCGGTGGTTGTATTTGATTAACGTTTTATTAAAAACTATCGATTTCAGCAAACAAAGAAAGACATGCAACAACAGAGGACAAACATAGGTACACAGTAAGTGTTTAAGAATTAACATTTTTGAAGTATCGAAGCATTGCAAGTCGGAGGTTCATTTAAAAAACGATAGTCTGCACTCAACTCCATGAGGGAGTTCAGGTATTTGGCATCTTATGTACTTATCTATGATACACAATGCTGCTTGGACAACAGGCTAACCAAAAGCATCACTGATGTTCAATGTCAGTATGTTGACAGAACGTTGATTCAACATATTTTTGCCCTGTGGGATTAAACTACTCTTACCCCACAGACCGCAGCCTGCATGATGGCGTCCAGGGTCCCTTCGGGGGAGTCTAAGTTCCCAGAGATGCGCTGCTTGTTGACCTCTCTCTCAAACTCAGCTTTGTTCTCCGTCATGCTAAGAACATGTCTGTAGCCAAAAGCAGGTTGGCAGTACTTCTCAGTTTCGGCGCATGGCTTATTCAGCTTCTCCGGGTTGGTGTTAGTGAACGGCAGGACAGTCTTGTCTACAAAAGAGCCGAAACCTAGAGCAAAAGATAATGGTTACAAAAACGAGATTCATGGACACCCATTGACATACATCGATTTTGAGTAGGAATTGGAGCTGAGATAGACCTGGATTCAAATACTATTTGAAATAATTTGAAATACAGTGAGTGAAAAAAGTATTTGATCCCCTGCTGATTTTGTACGTTTGCCCACTGACAAAGAAATGATCAGTCTATAATTTTAATGGTAGGTTTATTTGAACAGTGAGAGACAGAATAACAACAAAAAAATCCAGAAAAACCCATGTCAAAAATGTTATAAATTGATTTGCATTTTAATGAGGGAAATAAGTATTTGACCCCCTCTCAATCAGAAAGATTTCTGGATCCTAGGTGTCTTTTATACAGGTAACGAGCTGAGATTAGGAGCACACTCTTAAAGGGAGTGCTCCTAATCTCAGCTTGTTACCTGTATAAAAGACACTTGTCCACAGAAGCAATCAATCAATCAGATTCTCCACCATGGCCAATACCAAAGAGCTCTCCAAGGATGTCAGGGACAAGATTGTAGACCTACACAAGGCTGGAATGGGCTACAAGTGTCACGCCCTGGCTCTGGGGACTCTGAAATGTTGAGCCAGGGTGTGTAGTTTCTGTGTTATATTTTCTATGTTGATGTGCTAGATCGTTTAGATCTATGTTGGCCAGGGTGGTTCCCAATCAGAGGCAGCTGTATCTCGTTGTCTCTGATTGGGGAAAATACTTAGGCAGCCTGTTTGGCACTAGTCGGGGTGGGATCTTGTTCCGTAAAGGTTTGTTTTGTGTAACCTAGGACTTCACGTATCGTTTGTTTGTTGTTTTGTCGTGTGTTCAGTACTAAATAAAATGTACGCTTATCACGCTGCGCCTTGGTCCGTATCTTCCGTTAACGATCGTGACAACAAGACCATCGCCAAGCAGCTTGGTGAGAAGGTGACAACAGTTGGTGCGATTATTCGCAAATGGAAGAAACACAAAATAACTGTCAATCTCCCTCGGCATGGGGCTCCATGCAAGATCTCACCTCGTGGAGTTGCAATGATCATGAGAACGGTGAGGAATCAGCCCAGAACTACACAGGAGGATCTTGTCAATGATCTCAAGGCAGCTGGGACCATAGTCACCAAGAAAACAATTGGTAACACACTACGCCGTGAAGGACTGAAATCCTGTGCAGCACCTGCAAGGTCCCCCTGCTCAAGAAAGCACATATACAGGCCCGTCTGAAGTTTGCCAATGAACATCTGAATGATTCAGAGGAGAACTGGGTGAAAGGATTGTGGTCAGATGAGACCAAAATCGAGCTCTTTGGCATCAACTCAACTCGCCGTGTTTGGAGGAGGAGGAATGCTGCCTATGACCCCAAGAACACCATCCCCACCGTCAAACATGGAGGTGGAAACATTATGCTTTGGGGGTGTTTTTCTGCTAAGGGGACAGGTCAACTTCACCGCATCAAAGGGACGATGGACGGGGCCATGTACCGTCAATTCTTGGGTGAGAACCTCCTTCCCTCAGCCAGGGCATTGAAAATGGGTTGTGGATGGGTATTCCAGCATGACAATGACCAAAAACACACGGCCAAGGCAACAAAGGAGTGGCTCAAGAAGAAGCACATTAAGGTCCTGGAGTGGCCTAGCCAGTCTCCAGACCTTAATCCCATAGAAAATCTGTGGAGGGAGCTGAAGGTTCGAGTTGCCAAACGTCAGGCTCGAAACCTTAATGACTTGGAGAAGATCTGCAAAGAGGAGTGGGACAAAATCCCTCCTGAGATGTGTGCAAACCTGGTGGCCAACTATAAGAAACGTCTGACCTCTGTGATTGCCAACAAGGGTTTTGCCAACAAGTACTAAGTCATGTTTGCAGAGGGGTCAAATACTTATTTCCCTCATTAAGATGCAAATCAATTTATAACATTTTTGACATGCGTTTTTCTGGATTTTTTTGTTGTTATTCTGTCTCTCACTGTTCAAATAAACCTACCATTAAAATTATAGACTGATCATGTCTTTGTCAGTGGGCAAACGTACAAAATCAGCAGGGGATCAATTACTTTTTTCCCTCACTGTACTTTAGCTGTGCTGTTGGAATGGAACTAATAGAAAAGTCCCAAAAGTGCAAACCCTGCCGACGTGGAACCCAAGGCAGGCTAAAGCAAATGCAAATAAAATAATCAAATAGTATTTGAACAATTTGATCCGATCTGAGATGATGTCACCTATTCGTCCTTTTTTTGTGATGCGTTGCAGAGCATTAAACAGTTCATTTCCCAGAGTCTTGATGCTCCTCAAATCGTCCTCCATGGAGTAAGAGAGATCCATCAGGTAGTAGAGATCAACAGGATAGCCCTCCACTCTTTGAAAATCCAGCTTGAACGTCTGAGGCAGTCCTGAAAAAAGCAAAATCAAGGTGAAAACTGAAAATATGTATTTCTGTCATAAAAACAAACATAGACTGCAAGGATAACAGTAATGAGAAATTGAGGACGTTTATTTGCAATTTTAAGATCCTTTTATTGTGATTGCTTTCGACTAGTTTTGATCTGTTCCAGCCATAGAGTTGGATAGAGGGCTTAAAGCCAAGGTTGGCGATGTACTGCCACCTGTAGTTATGGAATGTTTGCTGAGGAGTTTAATTCATTGGCTGATACCTGGTGCTAACCTGGATGGAATTCTGTTATCCTCATTTAACCCATAAAAAGTCCAACCCAGTTGACTAATTGGTGAAGAAATGCTCTGCCCATGCAGCTGCCCATGCTAAAACAAGTGCCTCTATCCAACTCTTTGGTTTAAGCCATTTTCAGAACATGGTGGTAGTGATGGGAAACCGAGGCTTTCTGAAGGCTTCGGCGCTTTCACCAAATTGTGCCGAAAAACTGTCAATTACTCTGAGCTTCATTATCTGTTCACAATGCAATGGTCAGCAATAAATAGCAGCGTGTGATTATCAGATACACTTATTTTTTTCTCCATTGTTTTCCTGCAATCTACATGGTGCAGCAGTAAGTCATTGGCTTTGTTAGCCTATAGTTAGTTGGAATACCAGGTTTGCATCTTACATCATGCTTCCCTTTTTTGCCTTCAAGTTTACTATTTTTCAAAAACGGAATATATGGCATTATTTAGGACGCTTAAACCAGAAGCTTATACTATACTAAATAAAACAAATTATTTGAACAACAGTGCAGAAAGTGTGGTTTCACATAAAACAATTTTCTAAATAGTGTGTCTTCAATGGGATTTGACCTCATATTCTCAATTCCCTGAATGTTACGTAGTTCCCTACTCTACCTGCTAACTTTTAGGACAAAACCCCAACTATATTTGTAAGTATGGCTTCCAGTAGAGTTTGATGTTTAAAAGCAGCTTGGAATCCAAGAAAGCATCGGAACCGTGGCGAAATCAGTGGGATCTCGCATTTTGCAACACACGGTTTGAAAAAGTATGTGATCAAATGAATCTTTGAACGTCATTGGTGACTTACTTCTGATAAAGTGATAAATGCATCTGCACAATCCTTTGAAGTTAGCTGCTTAGAGATTTCGACGCATGCCTCGGAGCTCCGGTATCAAACGTAACATCACTACATGGCAGCCATTTTACAAACCAGTTTGGCCATTTTGAGAACACCCACCTGGTCTGAGCTTCAGATTGACCTCCTGAGGACGGAGCTGGATGGGTTCGTCCTTGTCAAATGTACTGTTGGACAGGGTGCTGTTCTTAGAAAAAGAAAATATATTGATGGGAGATATGATGTCTCCTTCCATGCAGCCCCTCTCTACGAGCTGAGCCCGGGTGTCACAGCGAGCTGCTTCCTGCTCCCCTGGTTTGGTGAAGTTCTGGGAATGGAACAGACTGGCTTCAATGGAGGGAGATTCTTAATGAAGTACTGTGATGGAGTAGCTACAGATTTGTAACGGGATAATATGATTATCCATTAGCCGTTACAAGGTCATTCTCACGAAACAATTCTCGTGTCATTTTTTCAACAAATTTCCTCTTCAATCACTGAGATTAGCATCTGTATTTATCTATTTTTATAATTATAATTATGTTTTTTGATCAGATATTATGCATTTTACCAACATTTGCACAAAATTCTCATCACCGTAGCAGATGTCCACAAAAGTTATAAACAAATCCATATTTCTACTATTTTCTAACATTGTTCCCCTAATGAAAAGGCCTGATATAAACATAACACTGAAAAAAATTAAAAATGAAATTATACAATTATAATAACATTAAATCTGACTTTTTCCCAATTTGATCTCTTTAGCCGTTTAGGTAATGATAAGGTCACTTGGGGAAAAGGGAGTGTTTGAGAATAAGAACATCATTCTGAAGGCATATACAGTAAATTAGGAAAGTATTCAGACCCCTTGACTTTTTCCACATTTTGTTATGTTACAGCCTTATTCTAAACCTGATATATTTTTTAAAATCCTCATCGATCTACACACAATACCCCATAATGACAAAGCGAAAACAGGTTTTTAGAAATGTTTGCTAATTTATTAAAATTATAAAACAGAAATACCTTATTTATTTAAGTATTCAGACCCTTTGCTATGAGACTCGAAATTGAAATCAGGTGCATCCTGTTTCCATTGATCATCCTTGATGTTTCTATAACTTCATTGGAGTCAATCAATTTATGGGACATGATTTGGAAAGGCACACACCTGTCTATATAAGGTCCCACAGTTGACAATGCATGTCAGAGCAAAAACCATGAGGTCGAAGGAATTGTCCGTAGAGCTCCGAGACAGGATTGTGTCGAGGCACAGATCTGGGGAAGGGTACCAAAACATTTCTGCAGCATTGATGGTCCCCAAGAACACAGTGGCCTCTATCATTCTTAAATGGAAGAAGATTGGAACCACCAAGACTCTTCCTAGAGCTGGCCGCCTGGCCAAACTGAGCAATCGAGGGAGAAGGGCCATGGTCAGGGAGGCACATGACAGCCCGCTTGGAGTTTGCCAAAAGGCACCTAAAGGACTCTCAGACCATTTTACATTTTACATTTTAGTCATTTAGCAGACGCTTGTAGTATCTGAACAATTTATAGCTTTGGCTGAGGTTTTCATATTGTTGGTTAAATGAACTTTACTCTGCCTTGCTGAAACATCTGGAAAGCATTACTATAGGGGCCCCCTGAAACAGAGGAGACTTGGATATGTGGAAACCAGGGATTGGTCTATTCAAAACACCCATCTTATGTTACATAGGATATATACCAGGTTTTCAACAAAGGACGGGGAGAATAATCATATTTGAGATTGGGTTAGTTGTTCTCCAGATTCTGCAGAAAGCTGACTCCCGCTCAAGAGGCCAGCAGATAAGGTGAGCTTTCTCACAACTTTGGGCGCTGGTCAGTTCGTGTGCCTGTGTGTGCGTTGGGGGATGCACCGTTTAGAACTTGTGTGTGCGCCTTGCTGTTATTTGCTGTGGGATGAGAATCCGTTCAAAATTTCTAAAGTTGTGTGCGTTGAAAACAACGCAAACAGGGGGGAGTGAGAACATAATACAGGATAAAAGTGTCTATAGGAATTGATAACACTGGGCCCAGGGAAATTTGTCTTGAATAGAATTAAAGGGAAAAAGGAATAGAATGAAGAAATAAGGAACAAAGAACTAAGGAAAAAAGTATACTGTTAGGACGTCGCTGATCTACGGAAGCCCTCAAACGAGGCGATCATTTGATGGGCCACAAATCCTGGAGAGTCACTAGGTGAATTTTCAGGTCAGTTCAAGGAACTGTGAGATTGTAGAATATACATTCAATTGTATGTTACCTCTCGGTATAGAGTTGACGAGGTATATGTCCGAAGTAGCCTCTCATTGAATATCTGCAACTCAAGGTAGCATACATTTAGGAAGGAATATAAAGGAAATAGGAGCGACGTAAGCATGCTTTTAAGGACCGTATGAATGGATGCATTCTTTTCATGTGTGTGTGAGGGAAAGAGAGTGTGTGTGTTTGCGCAAAATTAAAGAGGTCTCTGTTGTGTTTCAGCTGTGTGTCGACTCATGCTATGATAAGATTTATGTTAGAGATATATACATATATATGTTTTGGTTTTAGTTTTTGTAAGGAAATATGTTAATTACGGTTAAAACCTATGAGCCCCTGGGAGGACGTTATGATTGTATAGAGAGGATTTGTAATGGATAAGAAAATAACTATAAATCTGCAGATTAGAATAAGTGAAGATAGTAAAGTTAAGAAACTTCGAAGTAGGATTTGTGTTCTATGTTTTGTGTTGGTTTGTGCGTTTTGTTCAGTGTTACTGTTTGTCTGTGTTAGAAAGAACGGAGGGACAGCTGGTCTGTCTGCTGTCTGACTTAGAGAAAAGTTACTGTGGGAGAGCTCCTCTCACCTTGAAATTGCACTAGTAAATGAGCTGCGCATGCGTGGGATTTTATGAGATTGAGTTACACAGAGCAAATATGCCACTCCCCTGCCTGCACTGAGCTGCTGGGAGACGCAGACTTAGAGCTGAAAAAGATGGAGGGGGACTTTGAATACACACGAATAAAGTATTATGTTTGTTAAGTGGCTGTTGCTTAATTATGAAACTATTTGATTGAGATCCATTGAATTTATAAATAAGAGTTATGTTGACGGATAAAATAAAATAATAATATTATTGCGCTATTTATAATATTCCTGAGTTAAGCTGTTTGCTTATTTCTTAGCGCGAATGTGAACATAGGTATGTCTAAAAGGGTATTGTATGGTTGAAATAACCCAGTGAATGCATAAAATACTAAATTCTTATCTGTTTCTTTTGTTCTTCTGTGATGTGAGAAACGAGAAGGAGGAGACAGAGAGAGAGGAGGTGCTGACCAGTGCGTCACGCGATAGCGTGTGCTGCACCGGATCCAGTCCAATTAAGGCCAGTACTGTTCTATCCACAAACTTACTTTCCCTTACAGGATATAATAGATACATTGTGTATGCATAGAATATTTCATGTTGTGACAATTTTACAGGGACTTGGCAACAGACTGATCAATTGATGTAATTGAGAATTGCACATTAGGGTTTTTTTTTTGTGCATGAGCTGTTTTGATTAGAATTGTGTTGGAAATCTAGCACTGAGATTATTCTGTAAAATTAAAGTGATTGGGTGCTTATTAAGCAATTGGTTTGTGGGTGCTGTAGTGTTGCTGGATTGCAGGTCTTTCTTTTTTGATTGCTCTGAAGTTGACTAGTTTCCTTTACTTTTCTTTATCGGATGTGGTAAGATTGCCACTAATCAATAATTTGGTTTAAAAAAATAAAAAAATAAAAAAATATTAAATAAATACATTAATAAATAAAAATAAAATATATATAACAAAAAAATAGGAGGGAAAGATTAGCTTCATAGCTTAAAGTATTTTTTGGTTTACAAATTAATTAGTTTAAAATAAATAATAATAAAATAAATAATTCACAATAAAGGAATATAAAAGAGTTGTTACAATGGGGAAAAAGGACATCAAATCTACGAAAGTAATTACTCCTGTTGATGTAGTACAAAATAGTAATCCTCTAGTTAATGGTATTGCAAGGTTATCTGGAAAATGGAATAAACGTTGGCCTGACATTGAACAACCATGGCCAGTGGAAGGGACTCTCAACCCAGACGTAATTAAAATAATGCAAGTGCTTGTATCCACGTATAAGGCAGATCAAAAGAAAGGGAAAAAAGGGGAACAACATAAAGAAAAGAGACAAAGAGAGCTGGGTGTTCTTAAGTTGTTTGAAAATGAGGGACAAAAACTGATAAAAGATACAAAAGATAAAAGAGACAGAGGTATAGAGAAAATGGCAAAAGAGGCGAAGGTAACAGAAAAACTAATGGCAGAAGTCAATACACCTTTCTCACACACGGATTCAGCAAAGAGGCCCCCACCTTACGAGGAAAAAGTAGAGTTTAAGGACGTCTATCCTCAGCTTCCAATGATCATTCAGGAGGGTGATTATTGCATCAGAGATGAAGATGAACGAATAATAGAGAGAGGACAAGCAGAAACGACCATAAAGATGAATCCAAACTCCAAAAGTAAGAAGAAAACGACACGTCTGGAAACTAAGTGTAGAGTGAGGTTCAGGAGGATGGAATTTGAAGATGATGATGATGATGAACAGAGTGATTCAGAAGAGATCATGGGTGGATATGACCCTGTGATCAGACGGAGGTTGGCCAGAGCGGAAAGAAGGGGTGATAGAAGTTGGAAGAAGAAGGATACAAGAGATCCGACCTCTGATGAAAGTGAAGATGGAGACAGCGATGAAGATTTGGAGATTAAAGTTGCTTCATGTTCAAGAGGATTTTATCCTACAATGACTAGCACAGAAGAAATAGAAAGAGATATGGATTGATGCATATCATGCTTGGATAAGTCGAATAATTTAGAATAAGTAAGAGAATTGGAAGAACAACTCGAGAAGCTGAAGATACAGAAGGAAAAACTGCTGAAAAAATTATCCCAAAAATTGGAGAGGAAGTGTACATTGCGCCCAAGAAAAGGGAGCACAAGTAAGAAGATGATGCCAGTGATAATCCGAGGACAGAACCTGGAGTATAAGCCTTTGCAGAATACCGATATGTCAGATATACTTGAGAAGCTGCCTACTCTTCAAGATGGAGCACATCCTTGGATTTCAAAGTTGGAAGAAATTACGGTGGGAACACAGTCTGCCATAGGAGACATTAAGATACTTTTGGCTTATCTCCTTGGGATTCCAGGTATGGAAGACATTTTTCAGAGAGCTGGACTTAATCGATATGTGGAGACTGCGGTGAATGATCCTGAGTTGTTAGCTGCAAGTAGAAATTGGCTGTGGAGAGCACTGAAAGATATGTTTCCAACAAATGTGCATCCTGACAACATTCTGATTGACCCACTAGGACAACAAGAAAATCCGAGAGCCTATGTGTCAAGAGCTCATTAAGTGTGGATAAATATTACCGGAAATGATCCAG